GGGGGGTTAGCATGTGTAGCATGAAGGCTCCTGCATTGGAAAAATTAAGATCTGCTGTCTGTAAGCACCTAGTTCTTTCACTGACTTAAGGAAGGATTTTGATTGTGGTAGGAAAGCTGAATATCTTTACAGGCACTTTGACAAAGATGATAAGGAGTAAAACAAAGGTTGGAGTTTAGGGGGGGATTTTGGGGGTTTTGCTTTTTTCCCCCAATTCTGGTTGGTAATGAGAGATGAAATTCAGGATCTTGAACACATCTAACAGTAGGATGAGCCACCTTATAGCATTAACCACTTTTTTTACCTTTAAACAATGTCCTTGAGATGAAAGACTTCATGTTTAATTGCTAACTTTGAGTTGCTGCATACTGTGTTGTTATTTTATCTTTGTTTCTCTGCCTTATTGGACTTTCTTTAGGAAACTAAGTACAAGGTAAATAAATGCATTTAGCTTCAGTAAAGAATTAAATTTCTCTTGTTACTGGTCATCTTTTTTTAGTAGTATGGTATATTATAAATTCTTGAGAAACAGATTTATAAGCTCTTGTGCCATAATCCTATATAGTTCACCAAAAAAAACCCCTCTGTTGGAATTGTTTACTACCTAAAAAAAAAAAAAAAAAAAAAAACCATCTTTACTGTAACTAAATTAAACAAGTTGGTGGTTTGTGACAAAGTTGGTATTCTTATTTCAAAAGTCTGAATCTGGCAAACTAGAAGTATTTCAAAAGCAAATTCTTTCATGACCTGTCTGTTAAGCTAGAAGTTGAAAGGTTTTTTTCTGAAACTAATAATATAACCTGAGTTATTTCAGACATCTCCAAGAAGCTGTCTAGTGTATTAATCTTGAAACTTGATATGTTGAAGACTGAAGTTGGTTTTATTACATTTTTAACATCCTAGAAATCTTTCTAAATGACAGTTTTTGGAAATACTCATGATTTTTTTTCCATTATGCTCTTCTTAAATAGCTTATTCAGCCTATCATCAAAAATCTTTTTGAAGGTGTGTTGTAACATATAATACCAAGAGATTCAAGTGATCTGAGGATGACTATTATACATGATTTCATTGTATCTGACTGTCAAATGTGTATTTATCTATTTAGGTTCAGACAAAGAAGGAAGAAACTTTGCCACCATCACTTAGTCAGAACATTCCAACTTTCTATTTTCCTCGAGGATGTCCTAAGGAAAAAGTAAATATAGATGCTGTGATTGCCAAAATTGAGAGAACTTTCTCTGAGTTTCCAAATGAGAGGGCAACATTAGAAGACATGGGGAAGGTTGCAAAGGTGAGAAATTGCTGTCTGTCTGCTTTTAATACTGAACACCTGGGGAAAGGAAATAAGAATTGTATACCTTTTTCATTATGTGTTTTCATCTCCTACAAGGTAGTACCAATTAAGACATCATATTTGAGATTTGTGGATAGCACAGTTATGTGTGAAAATCTTTGCCTTAACTATATCTCGAATAACCCTATGCTTTGCTTACAAAAAGAAACAAACATTAAAACAAAAGTTGAACTATTTATTGTTGGAGAACGGCTTGTAGAGAGCAAGGCCACGGGTACCTGCAGGAGCTGGTCACAGCCACCTGAGGTAAACAGAGGAAAAAAAAACAGGGTACAGTTATACTAATAAGGAAGGAGATTCAAGGCTCAGTGATGATAACAGGGACTGTTGTGAGAACAGAGATAAGTTGGGGCGCATTATGACCTTGGGGGTGAGACAAAAACAGCCCTGGGAGGGAAACAGGTTCAAAGCAAGAAAAATATTTATTCATACCAGAAATGCTACAAGGGGCTGGGATATTACAATGTGATGTTTTAGACGTACCCAGTGGCTGAGATATTATAATGTAGCTTTTTTAATGTATCCAATAGAGTTACAAGTAGTGTATTGTAGACTGCTTATGTAAGGTGTGATTTCTTTCAATAAAGTTGAAGTTTGCTCTATCATTCACATTGAATCGGCTGCTTGCTTCCTCTGCCCGCTGCAATTTTTAGTTGCATAAACAATCAAATACTGAAGGGCACATTGTATATTGTTCTGTGTTCTGTATTGACCAACAGACTTAAGGCAGAAGCACTGTTAATATGAATTTTGTTTTCAGTTGTCCACACTGTTTTTTCTTCATTCAAGTGTCATGAAACTCTGTTGTTAGGACATTGAAAGACACAATGGTTTGGTACTTGTAATTATAATTGTCTAGTTATTACTGAAGAGCTAATTTAGTTACAGCAGAGTGACAAAATACTGAGCTTAGAAAACAAACAAATATTTAAGTTCTGTGTAACAGACAGTAACCTACTTAAATTTAGATTTCCATCTTGTTACATTGAATCAATTCTTGAAATACCACTCGAAGTCATGCTATTGATAATATCAGGTTCTTATCCCTGTTCCTCTCACTTCACATTTAAAGTCCAGGGTCTAGATAATTGAAACAAAGACTCTTCACAAGAGTAGAACTAGGGGTTCAAAATCTCCTTGTTTGACTCACCAGAAGTGTTTAACTGCTAAGCTGAATTATAGGATTCCTACCTTCCACAGCTCCTTTTCACGTTGAAATGAGGAGAGATGGAAGAAGCTCTTTTCCTCTCAGCAAGAAAAGTGGAAGGGTCTAGTTGCCTACAATTCAGTGATGAAATGCATCATCCTGAAGCATAGAGAAAAGCCTCTTAGTCTGAGGATAGTATTCATCAAACTCACTTTTTCTTACTTTTTAAAGTACTTTTAAACTACTGCATGAGAAGTATCTGTCTCTTTGCTCCAGTAACCTTATACATCTTGTAGTATTCACAATCTTCTTTGAGATCCACATGAGATTCTCAGAAAGGCCAGCATGACTGATTACTCCAAGTTGTAGTCAGTTTTAGGCAAGACCTAAGCACTTAACTGTTATAACTGAGGCAGCTTGGAACAGACACGGAAGCAGCACTGTAGTTATACAGGAGTACTGAAGGTGTGAAGGAGTAATTGTCACGTATCCTGAAGCAAGATGCTGCTGCTCAGAGTAGGCTGGTTTATTACTTAAAACTGGATAGAAGATGTGCATGCATATGCAAGCATGCAGATGAGTTGAGCCTCCCTTTGAGACAAATGTAAACTTGCTCCAGTTCAGAAGGTGTGTACTGAACTGTCTTGAGCTCAGCTTAAAGATATACCAGCCCTTTAGCAGAGCTTATTAGCATGGACTCGGTTCCACTGCTTGGAGCATGAACAGAGCAGACGTGACTGCGTTCATCTGTTAGGAATGTTGCAAGTCGCCCTATGTTTTGCTTTCCACTTTTGGATTTCAGCCTAAAGCAGTTGCTTAAAATACATTATTTTGGAAGGTGCAGTTGGTTTCAGAAACAGTTTTATAAAAAAATAAATAAATCTGTGCCTTAATACTTTCTTCTTAACACTTGTAAAATTTAGGTTTTGAAAGATTTTTAAATAAGAGAATAGCCCTCAGATAAGCAATCAATAAACTGACTTGATATGTGCTTTAATTCTAGGCTTGTGAATGCCCACTTTACTGGAAAGGTCCTTTGTTTTATTGTGCTGGAGGTGAACGAACAGGATATGTGTCAGTTCATAAATTTGTTGCAATGTGGCGGAAGTAAGTAGATTACTTTTTTTAGAAGTACGGCATTTTATTTTAATTGAAATGTGATATTTTAAGCTCTGAATGAAATCCAATCTGTAAAGGGGAATAAAACACTTTCCCATAATCAACCATTGACAGCAAATGTGTCCCTGGCAAAATGTAACTAAATGATTATAACATAAACAAAAAAATCTTTATTTACAGGGTTTATAGATTTTAAAATGTTTGGTAAATGACTGGCTGGTTATGAGAAAACTGAAAACCATGGCCCTAGCTTGTAGATGCCAGTTCTGGACAAAATGCTTTTTATTCTTTCTAGTGCTCTTTCCAGTTCTAACCTAAAAATGTCCTTTCATATAATCAACTACATAGTGTACTCACCTCCTTTAATGTAAATGTATGAGACAGTACTGCTTTGATAAGTTTCCTTGGAGTGTACTTTGACATTTTTTTAATTAGCTTTTGCATTAAATGTGGTTGCAGTTTCATAGGCCTTGCTCTAGGGTTCCTGTATACAAGGTAGCATGAGCAATTTTCTGTACAGAGTATTAAATGGAAATATTTACATTTCAGAATACTTCAGACCTGCTATGATGATGCTGCAAAGTTTGTTCATCTTCTAATGAACCCTGGATGCAACTACTTGGTGCAAGAAGACTTCATTCCTTTTTTACAAGTAAATTGCAACGGAAACTAATTCTGGAAACACAACAAAATCATGAGCTAGCAAAGTCTTGATTTTTTTTTTTTTTTTTTGAGCTAAACATACTTTTTCATGGTCTTCATTAAAGTTTATTGATGATATTTAGTGTAACTCACTTTGTATGGTCTACTGAGATGCTAGTGAGTGACTTATTTTACAGTTAATTTTATGTATGGTGAGGTCTTCTTTGAGATGCATGAATTTAAAATTGCTTGCAGTAATAGCATGTGTATCAGAGAATCCTTACAGTTTAGAAAAGCAGTTGGGTGTTATTTAAGTCAAGGAGGCCTTTTGGCAGGCAAAGGAAAAGTGGTGTATGAATTCAAGATATAATAGCTTCTCACAAAGAGCAGCAAGCAACACCTTTACTAAAGAATAAATGAAACCTAAATTAGCCTTTATCGAATCATAGTCAGCCACCAAATTGCAAGATACAATGGTCAGCAGTGTTCAAAAGCTTCATCACAGCACAGGAAAGCTTATGTTTATCTGGCTTCTTTAAAAGATAATTTTACTTTTTAAAAGTCAGCAGTGTTTCTTATATGAAGCATGGTCTAAATGAAGTTATTGTTAATGATTGTGGTAGTTAATTTGAACTGTTTTGGTTAAGGAAGCAGATGTGGTATTCTGTATTAATTGTTTTATAGTCACTAACGAATAACATTTGGGATGTTGTTATTCCTTTTTTTGTAGGATGTGGTGAATAGTCATCCTGGCCTATCATTTTTAAAAGAAGCAGCTGAATTTCATTCTCGGTACATTACCACAGTAAGTAATTTTTTTTCTTTTTTTTTTTATTTGGAAAAGCTACTTTTTGTTATGAAGTAGGAAAATCAAAATTAATAAGATTAGTCAATAAGTATAAGCATATTTGTCCCTTGAAGTTGAGTATGCTGTCTTCATTTCTACATAACTAGAGATCTTATGAAGGAAGACTCAGTTTCTTAAACATCATACTTTTTCTTAATAATTATAAGAAATTGCTGAACTTAATCCTAATGAGAGAAACACTGAGCTGTAATGGTGTAGGATAAGTTAATGAATATTAAATGAAGAGCGGACTGTTGTCTAAACACTTGATTGTGTCTGTAGACTGTACTCCTTAGAATCTTGACCTTACTCTGGATTTAATTAAATGGAATTTTGAATGAAAGGACTATATTAGCATGATTATGTTCACTATTAAGTAAAATAATTGTAATTCTGAAGCTGTTTGCCACTTTCCTCTCTGGGGATTTTTCTTTCTAAGCAGGTTTTATGCATAAAAAGTTCCTTTTCTCTTTTCCTAGGGTAATATGACTGAAGTATTCTTTCTGTACCCAAGGGAAAAATCAGTGACATTAAATTTTTTCAGCTGTAAACAGGAGAGCTGTTTCCACTGAAGCATCAAAATTAAAATTCTTCAAAATAACTTTCAGTTCACTTTCTTTGTGCATGTGAAAAGTAGCTTAATATTCTCCAGCAAAAAACATGCAGAGTTGATAATCTTTTATGCAGCTTATAGTTTGACCCAGACCAAAACTGTGGAAGCTTTTTTGAAAGCATTTGGGTTTGATTCTTTATATCCTTTTTACTTTGCTTCTTGTTATAATGATTACATGAGCTCCCAGAACTTTCTAGTTAGATGGGACTGAAGGAAATGTTCTGCCTGTGAGTAATTTTCTTAATGGATTCTGGGTTGTATCAAAGCCTACACTACTTAAAATTGTGAAAGCTTGCTGCCTGTCCTGAAGGACCATAGGAGGGAAAAGTCCTGCCAACTTCCAGTTACTTTTCTTTGGAGGAACATCTTGAGTAGGCCTGAGTCTATCAATATTGAGTAAATTAGTGCTGGCAATACTTTTCTAACAAAGTTTAGTGTGGTCTTCAACAGAAGTCTACCTTTAATCAAAAATTCTGGAAGTAAACTAATATTGTTATGAATATAGCAAGAATATTTGTAATGCTGTGTCTGAAGATCAAGAAATGGCAGGACTATCTGCTCTTTCTTGTCCTATTTTAGGATGGAGTAACTGTTGCTCAATAGTCTTCTGAAATTCTATCCTGCAAAGTATTTATAGATAATTTTTTTTCTAAAATGATGTGAGGCATTTCATACTTATATTCAAAGTAGTTTACCTTGCTCAATGAAGCTTCATCTAAAGGATTTTGTAAGCATTGCAGTTGAAAACTTAATATCTGTTCATGCAAACTTTCATTTAACATGTAACTGGTCCATTTTTCTGCTGTATCTGTTTGTATCTACATACATGTATATATAAGTATGCATAAATATATCACACACATGTCTAGTGAAGCAGGTGTCTTCTAAGTATTGTTCAATCATGGCAGCAGTCAGTTCTGTCTGCTAGGATATAGATTGGTTGGTTGGTTGGTCAGCCTAATAATGTTAGGTACATATGTTCAAGATAAAGTTGAAATATATTAAAAACGTTTGCCCGGACAAGTGCAATACTACATTTAATCTGCAAGTATGCTCTCTATATATCCAAACTATGAATTCTTGAAACTGTAATCTCTATATTGCACCATTTCCTCTCCTTTCTGACAAACCACTGTGTAGCATAGTGAAGAAGGCAATTCCCTGACAATTTGCTTATACCCTGCTTCAATTCACTTTAGAAGACCGTTTTTAAGTCTGCTCCCAGTTGTCTTTAGCAAACATTCAATTTTGGTTTTATTTTTAGACCAGTTAAATGTATAACAGATGAGATAATGACATGCAGATGTATTAAGTTGCAAAGCGAAGGCAAAACCTTTTTAGAAAAAATTGCTTTGTAGTATAAGCCAAAAATGGGCCTTTCCTAAACTCACAATTAGAATTGAGCTAATTAAGTTTCAGAAGTAGGCTAGTCTATTCTCCTTTCTTTGAACAAGAACAGCTGGTTCAATAAATCCAGAAAGAGCTGCAGAGCTTGCTGCATGCTACAGTTTTAAGCTTTAAAATTTAGTGAATAAATTACTCTTCTATTTGTAATACAGGAATGATTGGTTTGTTTAAACTATTGATTTACTGCAATTAAAATCTGAAGTGATAAAAACTTAAAGTCTTTAATTTGGAAGAGGTTTGATTTGAGGGGAGAAGGATTCCTAAAGAGATGGTTCTTCTAGGTAGCAACTACTGTGTGGCAAATGAAATGTTACACATGCAATACTTGGTCTTGCTAATTAGCAGGTATAATCAGTCTCTAGTCAAGCAGTTACAGTTTGTAATACATTTAGATTTTTTATCCCCTTTTGTTAAGGGGTCAATGACTGACTTGAAATGTGTATCAGGTTGATTTAGGTCAAACTAATTGAAGTGAATGCTGAATTCAGTTAAGAAACAGAAAAAACATTTTGAAGTCTTATGCTTGCAAACTAAAGCTAACCAAATTATGCTGAATGGGTGGGTTTACCAAAATAATGTATATATAAAACTGATTTTTTAGAAAGTGTTGGATACTCAACTGAATGGATTTTTTTCTGGTTCCAATATTGGTCATGGCACAAGAACTAGTCATATTTCTTGCATGGAATTTTGTTCTTCAATTAGAAAACATTTAGTTGCTCTTAATACTATTAACAGGCTTTCTCCAAGTAACTTTAAATAGAATAAAAGTAAATGGGGAAAAACATACTTCCTGCAGGTGCAGAGGGAATATTTGTTAAATGTTGATTTGTTGTATTTGCAGACTTCAGAAGTAGCAACATTCCTCTGTACTCTGTTCCTTAAACAGACCCAATTCTATTTCTGTAACTTCATTGATGAAGTAAAATATTCTTATGTAAATATAAGTGTTTCAATTTGAAGTAATGAGATACATTAATAAAGGTTTATTAGATTATATCCTGTAGATCTGGAAGACTGAGGCAGTGAAGTTGCCAGTAGATGTATTCTGGATAGCATACAAGTATTCTTCAACTTTAGTGCGCAAGATATGGGTACTGCGTCATTGAAATAAGACTTAGCAAGATTAGATACAGACTTCAAAATGGTTTGGTAATATGACATGAGAGAAGCATCGACTTACTGAGTAATTAGAACAACAGAAGTAGGGGAGAGATGGAGTTCTGTAATGCATCTGGGTAAAGAGTGCTTTGGCTTCTTTCTAAAGTGGCTCATGTGGTTCCTGCAGTCTGTTGCTGTATACTTTTATGCAGTTGGTGAAGTAAAATATAGAACAAAACCAAGTTCAATGCATTGAAGCGATTGTACTAGTTTTGACCCTTCATATCTAAAGCTTTATCTAGATTAATTGAAATGTGTTACCTAGTCATAAATGTCACAAAATATGATGGCTTGAAGTTAATGGTTGAACTAGAGGATCTTCAAGGTATCTTCCAACCTAGATGATTCTGTGAAGACTTATATTTGACAAATGCTTGGGAGGGTATTTAGTTAGCATACCTAAGGTCACCTTTCCATTTTCTGTTTCTTGCAGGTTATACAGAGAATATTTTATACGGTAAATAGGTCCTGGTCTGGGAAAATAACTTGTAACGAGCTCAGGAAAAGCAACTTTTTGCAGGTACATAATATCTACAATTTTGCAAGACAGATGTTTCTGTAAGTTTTAAACCAGCATTAACTAAATGCTTAAGGGAGTAATTTAAGTAGCATGTCTTCCTTTTCCAAAAACTGGTGAAGCTCGATTGCATTAATTCTCATACACTACAATATGTTTAAATGTCATCTTTTTATCTAGAGCTGTATAAATACATGTGTGATTAGCAGAAGTCTGGCTGATCTCCTTATTCTTCTATGGACACATTAGTTTTCTACTTTGTGCGTTCAGTCTTTGCTGTGATGCTGCATGGTGTGCACTGTCTCTGAAGATTAAAAAAATGTTCCCCTGAAGCAGCATTAGATATTGGCTTGGTTATGAGAACTCAGATCATTTGACAAATGTCTTACAAATTCTTTAATGTGTTCTATTTATCCTTCTGATAATAGAATGTGGCATTATTGGAAGAGGAAGCTGATATTAACCAGCTGACAGAGTACTTCTCATATGAACATTTTTATGTTATCTATTGCAAATTTTGGGAGCTGGATACAGACCATGACCTCTATATTGATCGGAAGGATTTAGCTCGCCATAATGATCATGGTATGACAAATAAAGCACCTTTGTTTACATGTATTAAATGACCTGTAAACTTTCAACTGAGGAAGTGGTTAACAGCCAGGGCCAGTGTTCATGAGTCTATTGGTATAGCTGATCCTGCTGACCAGTGAAATAAAGCAGGACAGGTCATCTGTGGCACTGCTTTGTGTAGCAATACCAAATTTGAGGAAAATTCTGAATCTGAGTTGTGCTCTTGGCAAACTAGAGAAGGAAATAAGTTTGTAAGTGTGCAGGCTTGATATGAAAAAAATCAGACTGCTCCATTTGGTGGGTTTGGGTTGTTATCTTGGAAACAATCCATTTTGATATTATTCAAGTAGCATGGCTTTTATGACAAGGTACAGAAAGGTCAGAAAAAGGCAAACATACATTCAGGTACTTTGCTTATTTTAAAGTTTTGTTAGCTCAGCTGCAGTACACTTTGGTTTAATACTATTTAGCAGCTTTACATTTTCTATATTCACAATATACAGTGACTGTGATTCTGTAGTCTTGCACATGTACCTATTTTAAATATTCTTGTAGCTTGTGTGGAACTGTTGAGTGTTTTTGGATGCTGCGTGTCCATTGTAATCCTAAAAGTATTCCTTTCAGGACTGAAAAGCTTACTTAAACACAAAGTGATTATGGAATACTTGCCCGCATTAAAAAGACTAAGCACAATTCTGATTGCTTCTGAAAACTTGCCCACCAAAGTCTGACTACACTTTAGGTCACTGAGAAAGGAAAGCTGCTTTCATTTGAGAGGTTGCAGTACTGAGTTAGTACACTATAGAAAGGAAGCAGAACTGATACTGTACCACTTGCAATATAGCTTTACATCCTTTAAAACATGGAATATTGGTTAAAGCTTAACAGCTGCTGCTGAATGAAAACTAGACTAAAAAAGAGCATTAAATGGATATGATAACACATCTTTAGTCTTAAACTTCTATTTTTTGCATGTCTAAATGAGATAATCTGGTTTCCTAATTCCTTTCTAGTGTATGGTCACTGGCCTAAAATTAGGCTGGATAAAACAATTATTGTAGTAAGCAAAGTATTGAAGTATGTAGCTCTTGTTGAGAAGTTTGAACAAACTCCAGTGTTTCCAAAGTAGATAAGAAGCAGCAGCATATATGTCTTGAAACAAATTGACTATCCTGCAGTTCTGAGGATAAATATTAAGCAGGGACTAGTGTCCTTATTAGAATAATATGGTGATAGCATCACCATGAGTACATAAAACAGATGAACTGTTTGAATGGTTTAATCATCTGCTTGGATTAGCAGTATTTCTACAGTGATGAAAAAATATTTCTGAGCTAGAATAATAAGAAGAAATTCTTCTGTGAGACTAGTATCATGTACTGCTTTGAGTACCATCCACAGACTCTTCAGGATAAATTGAATATTGTTTACAGAAGTAGTGCTCAGTTAAGACATGTCTCAAAAATCCCTGAAATGGTTTCAAAATTAGAAGCATGGATCAGGACCATGTCAGAAATAGACTTGTGTCAGAATCAGTTAGGTATGCTCATTATGTATTAATGTGCCAATTCTGTTTTGGCTCATTGCCAAAACCAAGGTCATATAAATTGTAATGGCACTTGAAAACATGATTTACTTGTCAAAGAACTGGTAAATGCTATTTTACTAAACAGGCAATATCATTACTTGTGTTTTTCTGCTATTTCTGCATCAGGTCTGAATTCAAAGCTGGCTGGTTCTGGCTTTGCTTTGGAGACTTTGTGTTAAGTGATCTTCTCCAAGAGAACTCAAAGGGATTAATGAGCACTACACTTGATCTTTCTTACAGATGTGTGTATATATGAGGATTCTAATAAACTCTTCAACTAGACAAATCAAAAATAACATATGTAATTGACACTATTTAAAACCTTTTTTCACAGCAATATCAAATAGGATGATAGAGAGGATCTTCTCAGGAGCGGTAACAAGGTACTTATTTTGTATGCTAAACTAATTCCAATTTAATATTTATATTTGCTTGTTAAAATAAGTGTGACATTGTTAGAAAAAATGCCTTCTCCTTGAAATGGAACAGTGAATTTCAAGATTTAGTATTATAGTTTAAACTCTAGTAGTACTGGACTGCTCTTGGAACCTTTGGCTCAGTCCAAGTTCTTTACTCTCCTTTCTTTACCTGAACGAACACTTGCCATAGGGTATGGTATGGTTTAGCAGGGATGTGAATGAGGAAGGGAAGAAGTCTTGGCACTGTTTCTTTTCCATCCTTCCAAACTAAAATTTTCAAAGAGAATTGAGCTTTTCAGTACTGTTGGTAAAATCAATGCTTATTGCATCAACAAACTTATAAAAATGCCTCTAGTTAAGTTAATTCATATTTTTGACAGTCATTCTTCATTGTTCCCACTTATTCTCACATAGCTATGGCTTTTACCTCATTTTTGAAACATTTTGCTAGCATAATTTCTGTAGCCAGAAAGTGACTGATAGACAGAAATGGCATGACAAAAGCTGAAATTAGTGAAATGACACTTGGGAGGCATATGTCTAGAGCTTACTCCTTTTTTGGACAAGACAAAGCATACATCATATTTTTATAGACATCTTGAGGATAAAACAGCAAAAAGATTTTTAGGAATGAAATGTAATGTCTAGGAACTGTCTACCTGACTTTTTACTAGAAAGGTTGACCATATGTCTTCATAAAATATTTGAATGCTGTGTTCTGTGGTGTAAGAGTAGAAACAGACAACTATATTCTTGCCACATGAATGTTATTCTTCATACTTCTATTACAACCCGTTTAGCTAGTGGAATAGCTTTAAGTTCTCATCACTTCTACCTGAATAGAAATTGTCCTTGTCTTTAATATATTTTTTAAAATTGAGATACCTCTTCTGTTAACAATTAAACAGTGGTATTGCTGCCCGGGAAGGAAAGCTGTAAGTACTTCTGGACAGAGTGCTGCCTTCTTCCAGCTGCTACCTTCCTCTTTAAATACCCATTGCAGTAGAAACTGAACAGAGCAGACAAGCTCCTTATCCTGAATGATCAATGTAGTCTGTAACAAGTCACCTTAGGAACACTGTACCTTTTAAGAGATAATAGCACTGAGGAGAACAATTCTTAATTTTGGTTAGTAAGAGCTAGGTGTTTTAAAATATTTTTTTCTTTTCCCTCATTGGCCTTCAAGAGGTAGGAAAGCACAAAAAGATGGAAAAATTAGCTATGCTGATTTTGTCTGGTTTTTGATATCTGAAGAGGACAAGAAGACACCAACTAGGTAAGAATGAATTTGTTTTAACAGAAATAAAGTCTGACTTTACTGGTTTTCCAGTCTTTAAATAGGTCCCACTGATGTTCAGCTGGAACTGTAATGGAAGAAGCTAAATGATAAAAACATGTGTAAAACTGGCCCAGTTTGGCATCGTTCTTATTTATCAGTGTCTCCTGTTGCTGTGAAAGTCTATTTTAATGACTTCTAAGAGGCTGATTAAATGGTATATGCTGTATGTGGCCTACTTAGGATAAAGGAATTTGCAGTTGTTTCATGATGCCAATGACTGGGAAACTACATGGCTAGCATTAGCTGTAGGATATTAACAGGAAATGTGTTGTGATAACTTGTTCAGTACAAGAAAAGAACAGGTTTTGATACACAATTCAAATGTGTCTCCCTTGTTTTTATGTAAAGCCATGTGTCTTAGTCATCTCCTCCCTCACCCATCTACAAGCGTGTTTGCAAATGCAGTAATGCTTGGCATGGCAAATACCAGAAACTCTTACCACAGTAGGTGTTTTTAATGACTTCCTGTGGCATTATGGAGTGTAGTGTTGAGTCTAGTTTTGCATCTGTAAGTAGCGTAGCCTTGAAAACAGGCAATATATATTCTTAACACTCTGTAATAAGTTTGTGTAAACAGTTCTTTGCTCATAATTACTGAATTTCAGCATTGAATACTGGTTTCGCTGCATGGATCTTGATGGGGATGGTGCTTTATCTATGTATGAACTGGAGTATTTTTATGAAGAACAGTGCCAAAAGTTAGATAACATGGCCATAGAACCTTTGCCATTTGAAGACTGTTTGTGCCAGATGCTGGATCTTGTGAAGCCACAATATGAAGGTAGTAAAATCCTTTTCCATGTCTAACTTCTGTTTCTCTGGATTAGGAGTTGGTGCACCCTTAAGAGCACTCAGTTGGTTATACAAAGTATATGCCTTTAGGTTGTCTTTTCTCTAAAATCTGTTAGAGCTTATCAATTGAATGGTCTTCCAACAGCAGGCAGGCATTCATTTTCATACTAAATTTTAATGTGCTGCTTTAAAATCCCTCATAGGCTTTTATTTTGGGCTTGTAGCCATGTTTAGTCTGAAATGAAATCTTGTCACTATCTGCCTGAGGTGATGCTCTTGACTGTTCTGCTCACTTGCCCCTTACCTGTTCCAGTACACATTTAATTGAGATTGTTGACTGTCTTATGTAATGCTATTGTTTAGCGAATGTAATATGTGCTAGTGTTTCACATTTAGACACTTCTAGATGAAACACTGAATTTTTCCTACTTGAATTTCAAGTGAGTGTGTAATATGATGGTTCTGTTTACTGTCTGTATAATTATGCATAGAGAATCAATTGAGTGGTGCTTATTGCCCACCTTCTTTCTAGTATTAAGAATATTTAAATTACAAAAAATTTAATTTTTAAAAGGCAGTTGTCTTTTATTGAGACATGTTTTTTCGCATGCTAAGGGAATTGAAGTAGCTAAAACCAGAACATAAAGCTTCATATTTTATTTAAACCAAGTTAAAATTGATTTTCTAGGAGAAAACACATTTCTAAAGGCAGATAAAAATTGTAAATTAAAAAGGAGTATTAAATATGTTTTGTCCAAAAGCTCATTCCTAGACATCAGTGGAATAAGGTCTTAGACCAACATTGTATAATGCATAGAGGGGTGAGGAGCATTTACAGTGAGGTGAAACAAGCTCCAAGGAACACACTTATGTTGTATGGTTACCTACAGTAGCCTCCCGAATTTAGGGGTTCCCTTCCAGTCTTGTACCTTATGCTTCTGAAAGGCAGACATTTTCAATAATGTTTCTGTTCTGCATTTCAAATAAAACAAGATTGATGTATCTGTTCTATATCATGAAGATTATAAAAGCAGGCTGTGAAACGCAACAAAGGTGAGTTGTTTAGGGCAACAAAAATGAAAGCCAGTTGTGAAGGGTTGATGTTTTTTATGAACAGAGTGATGCTTAAAAGGTGGATTAAAAAAATCTTCTGTTTTCCCAGTACAAAAATTAGAAGCATGAAATGACACTTCACTTGATAGATTTGAAACAAAAGATGATGCATTCATACGTTTATGGCTAAACTGTGATACAGTTTGCTACAGGATGTTCTGGTGCCAAAAAGCAAATTCTTTAATTTGTGGAGATCTGAATTAATTACCTTAATTTCTTTTTTTTTGTTGGTCTTCAAGAGGCAATGGTAGGCCTCTACATGAGTGTTAGGTGTCTGAGCTCCCATTGCAATAAATGGAAACTGGAGAGCTAATCAACAAACCAAATATAGGTGTCTAACTTAAATTGGGAGCTTATATAACTAGGCTTCAAATCAGTTGCTTGGTTGTGGAGAGTTGCTGCCACTTGAGATGGCCCAGTACAACAGACATCTGTGTGGGTCTGACAGATATGACACAGGTGTCATGAGGGATTTCTGTCGTTCTGGACCATCAGCTATAAGCCAGACAGAATACATTAAGGCACTTCAGATGGCAACAGACACAAGTGTGGCAACCATTTCCAAATAGGATTCTTATTTTGCTTCCCTCTGATGTCCTTGAGTTGTTATACTTTGTTAGAGGCTGGGACAATATGCTGAGGAAATACTGTTCTAAGTCTGGCTTTTATTGAACTCTTCCATAACATCTGCAGTTAGCCCCTCTTTGATTGACAACAGAAGGCCAGCCATATTTAAGGTAAAACAATAAAGCAGAATCTTAAGGATAGTCATCTGTCTTTCCCTGTATATCTGGTATTTTTCAGTCTTTCTGCAGAAGCTTGATAGTCAGCTTTGAAATAAGGTAACATTTCTGAGCAACCTGACAAATATTTCTAACACTTAATAGATCCATTGATTTGAGTCCTTAAAGTGTCTCTTTATAAAAAACAAACAAACAAAACCACCTCTGAGCATTTAGCTTTCCTCTCAAGCAGTAAATATTGATCAGGCTGGACAAGTGTGACAAACTAGTCTCTATGAAGAATTCATTTGTATGAAGCACAGTCACACTGTCATCTGTCATGTCTGTCTTTTCAAGTCAGGGAAGAGAAAGGGCCACTGCCAGAGGAGATTCCTACTTGCTACCCAAGCACTTGGGAAGGAATGGCGAGCTCACTGGAGACTTCTGTCTTTTGAGGAAGCTTAAACAATTAGCTTAAATTATTTTTAATAGCTAAGCAAGGCAGACTGCATATCACTGCAGCATATTGGAGGACAGTAGAATGACAGCTAAAGCAAGTAACAAATCTGAAACATTTTGTCCACTTTGAAGGACACTTCTCTAGGTGTGTATTTTGTCTGTTCACGACTCTCCTATTGCATGGAGCATCAGTGACAAGTGTTTAAGCACAATGATGACTTAAATTTTGAATAGCATTCTTTTTTTAGAGGAAGGATAATTTCAGCTCTAAATACCTTCTCATAATCTTCTTTACAGGAAAAATTACTCTGCATGATTTAAAGCGATGTAAGTTGACAAATGTGTTTTTTGATACTTTTTTCAACATTGAAAAATACCTTGACCATGAACAGAAGGATCAGTTTTCTATGTTGCGGGTGAGTATGAAGCTTTGTCTTTTTAGCAATGTGCTTAACAATTAATACATTTTTTGTATAACTTGCAATGTGATTGTTTAGGATGGTGAAGGTGAAAGCCAAGAGGTCTCTGACTGGGAGAAGTATGCTGCTGAAGAGTACGACATCTTGGTAGCAGAAGAGGCAGCAAGTGACCAGTGGAATGACGAGTAAGAACATAGCAGGAGGGTTGATACAAATCCTCTATGAATGTAGACCTTCACCACTGCTCTCATCCTTGATGTTATTTTTGTAGAATGTTGCTGTTTGTGTGTTGAGCCATGCACTCAGTGAAGGAGGAAGATCCCTGCTTGTATCTTGAATTAAATACTCCTGGACAGTTTGATCACACTGGTTTTGTTAAAGAAGAGGTCCTACTTCAAATTTTAGGGGGGAAACAAGATTTGAAAAAGCTTCAGCTCTAAACAAAATACAAAAACTTTGTTATTGTGAGTTAAGCAACATTAAACATTCAATGTTTATATCTTGTTTAATCTCTTAAGCTTATCGGCCAAATTTGGGGAAGGTATAGAATAAGTATGTACATTTTTGACACTTGCTTGAAACACTGTAATGCTGAGTATAATAGCTTAACTTCAATCGATCAGAGGAAAGAACACCTACGGTCTTGCTGGTTGTAAAATGTATAAATAACTCAGCTGACAAAACCAGTGGGATTCTCATGAGCTAGAGAAAGATTCAGATTTTTCACCCTCTGTTTTAGAATTCCCTTCTAAAATTAAAATGTTTAAACCTTCAGGAGTCAATTTTAAAGAGTTACTGGTAGACTTGGTCTGATCCTATGAGGAGCAACCTAGCTCCCACAGTGTGTGCCATTATCTCAGTCTCTGAGGGGCCCCCTTAATATAATGCAGGAAGCCAGTGCATCAGCAGGTCAATCTGAGAGCCCAGGCTCGAGACAAATGAATAGCCTTGAGGCTATGTTAAAACTGAACATCTTAAATCGTAACTAGAACCACTTTCTCAAATGTTTTACACCTTAATTGTTTTAGCCTTGTTTTCTCTTTCTGCTGGTCTGTCTGTTTACTTCCATCATTATAGCTGTGTGTCTCCACCTTCCTGTTTTAAAATTCTGCTACTGTTGTGACCACCTAGAATCTGAGTGGAAAGCCCATTTTTCCCATATTCAGATCCAAAGTTTCAAAATTCAGGTGGTTTTTGACTAAATCTGTCTCATGCTGATCTGAGAGTTGATAGTTAAATGCAGATTTCCTGGATTCCATTAGGATCCCATTATTCTGGTTTATAGCTCTTAAAGCCTCTTACAGCCTTGTTGTGGAATACGGTGAAAAACTATTCTTTTGTCAGTTAAGGTATGCTCAGGGTTCAGAAGAATACTATAGGGTCTGTAAAAGCTAATCCTGAGCTAGATTGCCAAGAAGGATTTCAACTCTTGATCTAGCATTCTGTCCTGAGATTGTATGTAGTATCGCTGCCAACAGAAACTCATTGGAGGCAAAATATTCTTTTGACATTAGTAAGGGACCTGCATGTCAAGAAGTCTGGTTATTCTGCCCCTCTGGTTAAAAGTTTTAAATTGTGTTGGGCTGTTGTAGACAGGTGTAATTTTGTAATGGTCTAATGTTTAGGCACAATTTCACTCAAGGGCAGATGGGATATAAACAGCCTCAAGGTGCTTTTATTCTGATTCAGTCACAAGCTTGTTGACTGCAGCTGTTTCTCAGAGCTAAGCACACTTCTGTGATTATTGTTTAGACTATCTTTATGTATTTCCCACTCCCATAATGCCACCTGCCCCCAAGATGTCTGCTCTTGGTGAAAATAGAAGCTGCAAAATTCATAGCCAATATGCTTGGGGTCACATCACTTCTTTTCCACAAAAAATGTATTCCAGGTGTACCTGAAACCATCATTCTATGGCTTTACGCAGAAAGCGGACAAAATAGAAACTAAAATACAAATGTTTCTCAGGTTAAACTTTTGTATTATATTTTAAAATTTAGCATAGATTTTCACTCTTCAGTAAACTTCTAACAGGTCTTAGACACTTAGTGTTTCAGGTACCTCCATGAAATTTGTTCTCTCTGATCTAAGCACAATCTTTTATGTCCATGCAGTTACAGTAAGTCAGAGAATATTGGGGAACTCACGGTAGGTAAATCAGAATCCTAATAATCCTACAACTTGAAAAAATGCACCTTCACTATGTAAATACACTCCTTAAGGAAAACCAGTGAGTAGTTGTAAGATTAACATAGTGGAGTACACTGGGATATGGAGGAGATGATGTTTGAAATATCCAGTTTCTCATTTCTTTTGAGCCTCATGTTTGTAAACTCAAGTGACTCTTTGGTTATAGGTTGCCTCTGTTTTTGGCATTAGCAGATTGTCACAGATCTTTAAAAAAAAACAACACAGAAAGGCAAACCCAAAAAGTGACAATTAAAGCAAAATATTGTATATTGTGGAAGCACAGCCCCCCAAAATAATGCTTTTTAATTACTTTCTGTATCCCTGGTTAGGTTTGATGCACAGACCATAGCTTAACTTGTGGCCCTCCACACAGGTGGGTTTGTATCCCAGTGTTCCCTGAAGTTTTGTGGCTTTGTCTCCCTGGAGTATAGATCGTAATGCTCATTGTCTCCTGTAACTACTGCTTCATAACTTGAAGTGTTTCAGGTATCATACACACAACCATATGTAAGATGCATTTGGACTGACTAAATAGAGACAAGTAGTATGCTTCATCTTACTGATTTCTGCTTATATCAGAAGCTAGTGAAGACTGTTCCATTGAAACTGCTGAATTATGAAAAAATTTCAAAGAGCAAGGTTAGGATACCTTCCAAATTGTATGTCAAATAAGCAACAGAATCTAAGTTGTAAGCAAATAGATGAAAATCTAGAGAGACGAAAATTATTCTGACCTGTCTCAGGGAAGCATTGTTAAATCTGACTTAAAGTTTGAATGCTTTCTAAAAGTGAAGCAAAAAGTGTCTTCAAAACTTAATACCAAAGTAGAACTGTCTGAATGTTTTCTACAGTTGTACTGTAAAATGAAGCTTATTTTCTATTGCTGAAGTTGAAACGCAAGACTACTAAAAGCTTCCTTGCTGCTGTTTAGAGAGTTTAATGAACACAAACATACAAAAATTTATTACCAGTGTTTTAAGTTACTGCAGTGTACAAAAACTTCCTTAAAATCACTTAATGTACTTAAAGTGTTGTGATGCCTGCCCAAACTGAAGTGACTGTTTGACAATCTAGTATGAATTTTTTATTTGATTACCTCTATGGTAAATATTTTCCTGACATCCCTATTAAAACAGTTGATCTGAAACTTGGGAGCAGTATACAGAAATCTAGAAATAGGCTGTTTTCTTTACAGTTACATGAGCTTTAGAAAAGGGAAGAGAAAAAAGGACTTCAGAGGTGTTGCAGCTGTATGGTTATATTTTTATAAAAACCTGTGTGCTGGGAAGTAGTAATAGACTCTAATACTGTGAGAAGTAACTTCAGTGCCCAGCTGTGTAAAGTCGGGACAGCATTTCTAAACTTCCTTAACTTAAGCATCATGGAAAGGAGTAAAAGTGATATTCCATGAGGTCAACAAAGCTTTGGAAGAGAGTGGGATTTTATTTTGGTCCAATAATACTTGAATAACAATCTTGTGAGTATAGGATGGATGGAACCTACAAATAGTATCTGAACTATTCTCATGCTGCCATTTTTAATGACTGGAAAAGCTACTGTCACCTCTCTGTATCACTATGCAATAAACAAATCCAAAAGGTGCCTTCAGGATGTTTCTGTTTAAGAAGGAAGTAAAAAGTCCTACTCAAAAAGATGAAATTAATGGTGTAGAAGGCTATAAATTACAGGTGGTGAGCCAAAACTGTTGGTATGGTAGAATAACATATGCATCTTTCTTCCAAATCCTTGTTTTCAAGTGTGTAACTCAGTAAAGTAACTCTTAGGATAACTTGTTTTCTGTTCAAACTGGTGGTGAACTTGTGGGAGAAACCCAAGGTATTCTGTTTGCTGCCAAAGCACCGATTGATGCTCACATAACTGAGGCTTTAATACCTGTGGGAGGGATGAACTAACAAAAAAACGAAAGAAAACCAGGAGTTATTTTTACTGCTTAATCTTTACCTGATATTATCAAGGCATCTTTATTTCATTAGTTTTCTTTTGCTGAAAATGGTGGTGAAGCTGGTTTAACAGTGTATCTATGAAGTGTTTCAACAGAATTGCATTCACAATAGAAAAAGTTGTTCTTTCTCCCACCTCTGCTATTAATGCTTCTCTGGTTTAGTGCTCCTAGTGGATACTTAGTATTTAACTCTCCTTTGCCCCATGTCTTTCTCTGAAAGAATACTTCTCCTAATCACCACAAAATGCCATTATAAAGTCACATTTGAAGAGTGGGTATTGCAGTATCTAACCTTGTTCTTTGCCTAGTCTTGTCAAGTGGCTGGAAATAATCATGTGCTGAGGTGAGATTCAATAGTACTTGAAGATGTGTGTGAACTCAAGCCAGTGTAGCCCAGGAAACAGTTGGTTCTTTATTCTGATGTCATAAATCTCCAGAGGGATTTACATTTAATTTTTTTAAACAGCTATCAATTATAGATGATTCTACCTAAACAGTGCAGAAGCTGATCGTTTTTAAATATCAGCCTTCACTGGCTTGAGTTAGTTAAACATTACATTTCATTATTCATCTGTTCATTTTCATCAGCAGCAGGTGGTTATCAGTAACTTCTGGTTAAACAATTGGCTTTTACTTTCTAGCACCTGCTTTAAATGCATGGTTGCTATTGCTTCCTTGTGCTCATGCATGTTTTAATAAGACTCCCAATTCAGTATTCTTTCTCTTTTGTTGTATCTACTGCAGGTGTAGGTTGTTCTTACTAATTGAGCCTAATTTCAGCTTTCTTGACAAGAACTTGAGGGGTTTCTGTCAAGTATTTAAATCTTGCATTTGACCATTTCTAACTTATGAGTAGTCCACTACAGTGGTATGTGCTTTGAATCCTTTTAGTAAAGCTGCGTATCTCACCAGTAAGTTCTGCATGTGATGGGAGACTAAGCTAGCTTAAATTTGTGTTACAGAAACCTCCTGCTGCTGCTTAAATGTTTCTTCACTGTAAATATGGAATACTGGAAGTTATTTTCTTCCTGCAAGCGCCTTGTTAGTGTTCTAACCTTAAGGTACTACCTGACATAGCTCAACTCCTTTTTTTTTTTTTTTTTTCCCCCTCTGCTCCTAGGTATGAAGCAGAACTGAATCCTGTAGACCATCAGAAGGCCAGTGTCCTAAAGTATCAAATGGAAAAAAGACCATTTTTTGAAATGCCTTCCCATCTGGCTGATGTAGACTTGGATGACTATGACTACGAAGAGGACTTTGAGTAGTGGTTACTTATGGTCAACACTTGCAGAAGAGAAGGGACAGTCTGCAGCAGGTCTGCTATACATCTATATGTTTCACTGGGTCTTGTTTCCAGGAAGTCAGCTTAGTTTTGTGCTAAAAATATTTAATCACTAAACTACCTTTCAAATAAAAGAAGTGCATTTGTATGGAATGATGAAACTTTTTGTATTTATTCAATAGTCTATAGTTTGTAAAATAGATTAAAATATTTATTTACAGATGTTGCATAATTCCTTTTTGAAAGAATAACAATATTTGACTTTAGGGAAAAGTAATCTACTGTTTTTGAGAGAAACTCTGTAGTTCCCTCAAAGTTGATGTGCGGTGCACTGACCATCTCCGTCCCATAGGCAGACAGATATTCCTGTCCTGTATGGGAGGTGAGGAGACAATGTGCATCTGGCTGGCACTGCTTACGTGCTCAGGCAGCCCTCGGGCTTTCCTGCCTTGGCAAGGAAGAGCCAGGACTGAGTGCGTGGTTCAGCGCTCATTTACAAGCAGTTTCATTTGACAAGCTGAGCATATTAGTGCACAAGGAAGATAATGCCTGAGACAAGTTGCTTCTCTTCTCTGTGTAGTCCTTGTTTGCCCCAACTTTAATTCTGCTTGCCCTTTTAAACTTCAGTCTTTTCATTGGTGTTCATTATAAAAAATTATTTAATAATGAAGTCTGTTTTAGTGTTCATACTTGATCTAAAATGAGTTTGTTCATTCATGTAGAAGGAACCAATTTTTTAAAATCCTTTGTATAAATGTTACTTGATCAGTGATGTGCACTAATCTGTTGTGGGCATTCAGTGCTTTTGTCTGTCCCCCCCTTCAGTTGTTTGCTATTGACACATTCCAAGGATATTCATCAGTGTCACAGCAGCTTGAAATTGTTGCCTCACTTTTACTGTTAAACAGATTTTGTTTGAAAAAAAAATGTACAAAAAGATGTAAGTTATTTTTTGGTTGCAGTGTAGATCTGTTAAAAATCACGTTTGTATTTTCAAATAAAGATTTTTTTCATACATGTAATTTGACAGTTGTAATTAGTATGTATTGCATACAGTTAACTTACTAAAGAAGGATCATCAAAGATGAGTTACACATGTTTGCAGTCTGGTTAGATAATTACACCAAGCTGCATACTCAGAACTGAGCTCTAGCAGGTTTTTTCTTTTTCATCCAAAAGACAGTGTTGCTGAGCAGCTGGAAGTGGTACAGAGAAATCTGTTCCATTTACTCATCACACCAATTCCTGTAGAGACTTAGCAACCTCTATATCTATAGTTAGTTTCCACTAAAGTCAAGTTTCTCTAGTGTTGATCAGGTACCTTTTGCTGCTTGTGGGTTTTTAAACAAGGAGGGAGGCAGAGTGTTGATGTGAAGCTCTGTTCCCTAAGGGTACTGCAGGAGAGGATGACCAGCTGCCTTGCTAAGGAGATGATCCTGAACTTCTGCTGTTCAAGAGGCAGTGGCCTACTGCTTTTCCCTACGTGGAACAATTCAGCTGGAAAACACCCCCCCCCTTCTTAAAAAGGGGCACTTCTAAGGGATTTCTCATCACATGGTGGCATTTCTCTGTTGTTAAAGCTCTGTTGTTGAGCTCTGCACAGGGCAGAGCGCTTCTGAGGAGCCTGTAGCTGCTGTTGTCACTTTGTGCTGAATGGATAGCAAGTTAAATCCTGCTCTCCAGTACACTCATGATAACCCAGTCCCTTCTTTTCCTAAAGGATTTGCTCAGATCTAGTAGAACAAATGATGGTATTATTGTGGAAGTGCCTTATCCTGGAATACATGAACTATAAAGATGACTGTACCTTCACCAGGATAATTCCCATCCTCAGTCTTTTCTTACAAGAACTCAAGCAGCTGCATGTCTGATGTAGTCCCAGGTATAAGAAACTGTTTTCTTAGTCCAGCTGTATTCTGCCTACCTGGTGTATAGTCCTAAATCCAATGACCAAATCACAGAGGGACCCCAGAACAAATTGATCTGGGTGATAATCAGCATTATCTTGTGGAGCACTACTTCTCCCCTTGCCATTTAACTATGTGAAATGAAACATAATGGTTTTACTATTGCCACTTCGGGATACCCGATACCTGTGAGACATGCATGGCTTTCACTTCCACGTTCCTGGGCGCTCTCTTCTCAGCCTATTTAATAACAGGGCAAAGGCCAGTAACACTGCTACTGTTCTTTCTCCAGACTTACTGTGGGAATATCACTTGCACTTTCAGTACTAATGGATAGCAATAGTTCTATAGTTTATTTTACAGTTACAATCCAAAATATATATTAAAAAAAATAAAGCTGATTGATAGAATTAATGCAATGTACAATTCCATGGAGCAGTGACAAAGGGTCAGTGAAAGCAGCCAGCACCCCCCAGCCTACTGTCTCTGAAACACACTTGAGTGAAGATCATTTGCAAATTCTTAATGGAAAAAACTACTTTTGACAGGCCTTATTTACAGTCTATTTACACTGTGTTTTCAGACCTTATATTTTCCAAGTAAATATCACATGATCATTGTGTACAAAGGATTTCTGACAGAGGAAAATACTCAGTCAACTGGTCCACTGTTTGTTTCTTTGTTACTTAGAAGCCTTGATGCAGGTCTCCTGGGAACATGTTCTGATCCCCATAGACCACTAACCACATCTCTGCAAGCACTGGAATCCAGAAATACTTGCTGACATTTTGATCCAGGCAGGAAACGGCACTACCAAGTCACTTGCCCTCACCTGGCAGGTCAGTGTTCACAGCTGGGCCAGGCTCCTTTCTCCCAAGGGTCAGGTACAAGGAAACAAGTAGATCTCCATCTCAGTTATCTCCAAGGGTAAAGAATGCATCCAGCAGAACACTGCCCCCGTGCTGACTTGAGCAAGCTTGTCTTGTCTGGTTTACAGTCTGTGACTCAGTATTTGTCAGTACCCTGATTCCAGTCCTTAGGTTGGGAATTTTTCCAAGACGGCATCAAGGACCAGGATGCAGTTGAGTAATGATGTTTGTAACGCCCACAACCTCAGAAGTGCAATGCCCAAAGCAGTAACACCCACGAGTAGCAATGTGGAGGAATCAATTGTAGTGCTAGTAACTGCTTCTGGGTGGATGCCCACAGGCAGAGATTTGACTTGATACATATCTCCTGCTACCTTGGTTGATGCCATCACAACCCCATTTTTCAGTTAAACAATTTGCAGAAAAAAACGATAGCATGTTCTTCACTTCCATTTATCCTCTCGGCATCTTAACTGTCCTATACCAGAAGGAAAAAAAAGAGTATGTCAGTCTCATACTATGAAGAAAACATCATGTAGAGCATGTAAGGAATGAGAATAAGAGTGTAGCATCTAACCATCTAGCAGCTTCGCCATACCTTGCTCTTGGAAAGCACTATATTTAGCTTCCACAAAAGGAAAGGAACATTTCTATACCACAAGGAGCCTGGAAAAGGCACCACAGGGAAAGGACATACTAGGTAAGTAGTGCATTTTCTGCATGGCTTCGATCTTGGCCCATGGATTTCAAATTTTTTATCTGTCTTCAATAGGAGCTGTTCTAAGCCTATGGTCCAGTCTATATTTTAACGGGCCTATGACTGCAAGAAAAGGTAGAAATCTCTTTTTTTCCTTCCAGTCCTCTTTAAAGAAATCAAACACCCCCACCACCACTCACATATGAAAAGAAACCATTTGCTCACCTTTACAGGAAAAAACTTATTTAAAAAGTCAAAAATCATACAAGGTCTTTTGATTGTGGCTGTTAGATCCCAGATAACCAGAGCCACTAGAAATCATGGGGTTGCCTGAGTCATTCCAAAAAACCTGTCTGCGAAACACTGGGTTTACATTCTATTAGGAGTTCAGAGCAGGGGGAAATACCAGTGAAAACCCTGAAGTAAGCGCTCAGGCCCTGGCAATGGCTGACACAGCAAAGCCTTAGGGGGAGGGGTTGTGCTCAGCTGCAGCACAGGAAACTTTTTTTGTGTGTGTGTGTTTAATCCCTTCCAGTGCAGACCCCTGGTGTACAACACCCTGTCAGAGTCCTTGCACTCCACTGGCCCAAAGGGCTGAAAGTCCTTCCCTGCTGAAAGTATCCATTCCAGGGCTGTGCTGGACCCAGGCAGACAGCTGCAGTTTTGCCAAACTTTCATCTGATCCCAAAGGCAATCAGTGCCCACAAGAAAACACCCATGCTACGCTGGCTGCCACTCCCAAGCCCACAAGGTTCAAATGCTTCCCTTCAAATCCCCAGCTGGTCTGGGGACAATTTAATCTCCCCAGCAGCCTTGACTGGAAAAGGGAAAGAAACAAGGGACACTCCATCAAGAGCCCTGGGCTGACCAGTGATCAGACACACAGTCTGAATCTTTCAATCTGAAGAGCACAATGCAGACCCCATTTCTGAAGCAGACATTCCCTGCAGGCCATGTGGCACTGCCATCTCTGCAATGTGTCAGTAACATGAAGCAACTGCAGCAAACGGCTCTTAATCAAGAAGCTTCACAGTATAGGGAAAAAAAGGAAACTGTATCCTCCTCTTAATGCATCCTAGCTGGTTTTTAGTGTACCTAAGGATATCTAGATGCTAAAATCAGAATTTCCTTAAAAAATGCAGATCGAGCAGAAGAATGAGCCTGCAGCTGCAGCTGGAAAGGCAAGAAGGGAAAAGCCCCTCTTCTCAGCCTGAAAGGGGCTACAAAAGAGCAGCCCCTTTGCTGCTAGATGGGTACTCATGAGACTCTGAACTCACGTTCACCCACCTCAACTGCAGCTGACCTCAGAGCTGGAAAACCTGAGCCAGAATTACCTGGTCTGCACCAACAACATCAACATCGACATCTTCAGCTGCATCTTCTGCTTGAGCCTCCTCTGAGATACCTTCTGTCTTAATCTCATCTTTGCTGGGGAAAAAAAAAAAAAAAAACTAGGTCTTGAGAAACTGTAACAGAGGTTTCACATTACACAAGTGGGCTTAAGGCAGAGTAGTTCACATATTAAGATCTGCTGCCGAGATATCCATGTAAAGTAGCCCAAAGTTTCTGGCCCAGTATTTCCCAGGTATGAAAGAGGTTATGCTCTGAGGAATTTCCAATAAAGCAGTTCAGAAACAAAATATTCATTTAAGCAGAAGCTACCTCCATGTTTAATAAATTTTTGTTCTATTTTATTCACCAGATGCATTTAACAAGTGTCCCAAAACCTGGAAAAGCATGCGTCTTTCTGGGATTTGTGTTTCATCTTTTAACCTACCAATACAGGAAATGGCACCTAACACCTCAGTAAAGGAACTGTATTAAAAGAAAATTTCCCAGCTGAACACTTTGAGTGCTTTACAGAGCTCAAAAGCAGACTCCAGACTCCCTGTTCTGCAACACCTCCTTACATCAAGTTCTGTGGGGTTTCACTCACTCAGGCATGTGTGCGTGCTGCACACAGACATGCACCTCTCTAAAAGAAAGTTACCAGTTACACAGTAGTTAATAGCAGATCTGCAGACACAAAAATCCTCTTTCATTTCCAGAAATGCAGCAAACACTCATTGTCCAGCTGCAGCAAACAGCCAGGGAGTAACCAACACCACAGCACTCTACTCAGGACCAGAGATAAGAGAAGTGGGACAGGGAACCTTCCTCCTTCCTTGTCTTTTTCTCTGCACACTTGGTATGAGTCCAAGAAGGACAGAAGCCCTGTGACAGTGGAGGACAATCAGGCTAAAGACCAAATGTAGATATTGGACTGAGGAAACAAAAAAAGAACCTGTCCCTGGGACACAGGCCATAAGACAGACAGGAAGGGCACATAGACATGGAAGTATCACAGAAATCAAAAGCAGAGGTGGATAGAGAGACCCCAAACATCAATACCAGCACAACTTGTAAAACATAAAACTCTCACCAGCATCTTCTTTGCAGCCTTTCTGGACAAAGGAATGACAAATCTTCCTGTAAGTGCATCTCTTGAGATTTCAGCCTCTTTCTGCTTTTCCCTGATGCAGAGGCAAGCTGGGAAGCACACTGCGGGTCTGGAGCTCTGCTGGCTGCTTCACTCTGGCTGGTTTCAGGCAGAGACCCTGTAACAGTGAACAAACTCGTTCTTCAGCCTCACCCTTAGAGGTCTTGAGATGGACATTTCCAACATGTTCCCCACAGCAGTGAAGCAATGGGGCCAAGTTCAGAGAGAGATTTGGAGGAAAACATTCATTTATAGAAAGAGCCAGCTAAAAGCCACATAAAAGAAAATCCATTTAATTTGTCCACTGGTTATTTTTGCAA